ATACATACATACATACATACATACATACATACATACATACATACATATTGGGTGTTGGAACGTAGAAGGTTGTTTTACTGCAAACTGACTTCCCAGTGAGATAATAGCTGCATTATCCTCTCAAACTATATAAACTACTAAACTATTTTTGTTCATTTCATGCACTAGCATGTTCAGTGATTCTGTAATTTACTGTATTTCTGTAATTCTTGATAAGTTTCAAAGACATAATTAAGCACTTTGTAAACAGCTATGGGACATATAACTAAAATACATTTTTCCCAGCATTACGTTCCAATCATACCAAATCAATTTTTCTTCTATCAATTTTACAAAATTTATCACCAAAGCTTCAATATTAACTCCACAGGATTATACTTCAATTTAAGTAGTTGAATTTGGGATATAGATTAATTTTGGATCAGATTATCTGTTGCTGGTCATAGAAAAGGTAAGAGGATAGCAATGGCAAGTATAATAGGTGTCTGGATCCAATCTGTGTTGGTCACCAGGACCGAAGGCTTTGTCTTCTGAGCATTTGGAGTCGTGCTGGAGCACATCTTCAGAGAACTTTTCTGTGTGCTTTGGGCTGTTCTATTGTGTTGGTTCTCTGAGGATGGGCTCCAGCATGGGTCCAAAAGATCAGAATACAAATCTTCTGGTCCCGCTGACTAACCCGGATTGGATCCTGCAACATTATCCTGGGACACGTATATTCGCCTTCATTCATAATAGATACCCTTTAATTACAAGACTGTTTCTGGCCTCAATCTTTGTTTAAATTCACAGAACAGCACAGCTGTGCCATTTAAAAGATCTGGAGGCCGATGACATATTTTCTGAATTATCATATGGTCTTGAAGAAACCACAAGCCACAAGCTCTGTGCCACATAATTGCTTCTCTGACTGTCACAGAATTGTTCAGTGAAGTGAAAACACCAAAGGCAGCACACCTACCATTCCAACGCACAGCGCCTACTCATATCGGTAGAAAGGGATTGCACAAGTTTAATAAAAAAAATACTCTTCCTGTAGCTTATTTCTGCTTTCAACAACAAGGTGGAATTTAATTATCTCCCTTTGCAAGATTGCTTGGGAATTTTCTTCTTCTGTTCTGTTAGAGTAGACCGATCATGACATATGTAAAAAAAAAAAAAATCCTACAGGAAATAACAGATTTGCGATCCTCCCCAGAAGTGTAACACACCTATTTTATATTTTTACGGAATCATAAATAAATAGCCAAATCTATAGCCCTTTCCCTCAGGAGGCACCAAGCACATTATTTTCTTAGTCTATCAGTGTAGCAATTATTTTTAGTACAATGAGAGGCTATAAAAATCAATCTGCCAAGAGAGGCAAAGGGCCTAGGGTTATAAAGGTATTCCCTGGGTATATATTCTTCAGTAAATCATAGGGAATTTTATTTTGACCAAGAGCATAAGGCAGTATTTTCATTTCAAATGCCCACTTATGTTTATTTCCTAGTGTGATTGCAAAGTAGAAGTTTAATTCACTTACTTCCTAGTAGGTGTGCCTGAGTGGAGTGTGTGTGCGCACATACACTGATACTAGACCTGATTGGTTTTTGCATTTGAGAAGCAAAATAGCATCCAATTGAATTTTTATTTTTAGTATGAAAATTTGATTTCAGGTCCCAAATCAAATATAGTTCCGATAATATCTGAATGATATAAATTTAGTCAGTACAGTACAACTCACAACCATTTGTTTATATGACTGTTCAAAATTATAACAGCACTGAAAAAAGTGACTCATGACCATTTTTCACACTTACAACCATTGCAGTATCTCCATGGTCACATGATCAAAATTTGGCTGCGTATTTATGACAGTTACACTGTTGTGGGATCATGTGATCACCATTTTTATCCTTCCCAGCCAGTTTCTGACAAGCAAATGGTGGAAGCCAGATTTGCTTAATAACTGCATGATTCACTTAATAACTGCAGTGATTCACTTCACAACTGTGGAAAAAAGGTCACAAAATGGGGGTACAACTCACTTAACAACTGATTTGCTTAGCAACAGAAATTTTGGTTCAGTTGGCTACCTGTACTGAACTAGGATGCTTATTTATTGTAATAAATTCATACATCATAAGATAATAATACTATCTGAAATACATTAATTTTAGAGTACCCCCAAACTTTTGTAGGTCCTAGACATTGTGCCTAATGGATAATAAGATGGTGCTTTGCCCATCCTTCGATTTAATTTGGTATGGCTTGATCTCATGATACTGTTCTGATTTGTCTAAACTTCTTGAATTATAGATATAATTACTAAGGTAAAGTAATCCTGACAATGGCCACGGTGTTCATACAAAACAGGAGGACACCAATATTGAGGATTTGCAGCAGCAAGGAACCCCCAGGTCAAATAAAAAATATGCATAAACTTGGCACTGGGCCAGTTTAAAAATCTAGGCGTCCATGCTATAATCTACATGGTGTGTGCTCCCTCCCCCTTCTCTTTTTGTCTCAAATGATACAATCGGAAGGCAGTTTAGAAGACTGTTTCTTACCACCAATACACATTGCTCACTACCTTTCAAAGAGGGAGAAAAGGAGAAATATTGTTTTTAAAAGAGGTTCCCTGCAAGTGATGGGAAGAAAATCACATTAAGTAAATAGTTTTATAATGTAAGATGTCAAATACAAATAAGAGGAAAATGCACCGAATGATAAAGTTTTATCAAATTGTAGTGTCTGTGCTGTTGAAAGATGCTCAGTGAATGTGTTTGTTCCTTTTGGCTTAACTTTTAAAGGCCAAGCACCTTCAGACCTGGTTAGTGTTTGTAATCAAGTTTAGTACCTAGAAATATCAAAGACTGGGAAATTGAAAAATCATCAAAAAGTCATCAATGTCAAACCATTTCTGTATGGATATCACGAGGTCTCAGCATCCATTTCCAGCTTGACTCAAAGAAGACTTGACTTTACATATTTATTTGTAAAATCTTGACACTCATTTACTTAATCCAGGAGTCTGGGCACTTGAAATAGAATACTCTGGTAAACACTATGAGATACCTAGAAGTTGAGGGATACTTACCCAATTAAGTTTCATAGTGCTGAGCTTTTGTTCTGGAGTTTTACCCATGCAGTATTACCCAGCAGTGGTAGGGTGAAGTAGATATAAGATTATCATTTAGTTATGATGGCATGGTTTTTATCTGATCTGGTCCCTTAGGCCAGGCTGGTTTTGCTCAGCAATGGACTGTATTCAGCTTAAGCAACACCCTTCTGGATCTGAGATTTTTCTGGAATATTAATTTCAGGTGCTTTAGTGACTTTTCATTCCATAAATAATAGTGTATCTTCATCACTGAAATGGACATGAAATTATACCACTGTTATAATGCAGATCCTTGCTCTTGGTTAATACAGTTATGAGCCGTATAAAAGGCTATGCCTTGTGTCATCATGCCAGTGGTGTGACATAGAGTTTTCTGTACTGAAGAATTCCTACTTACTTTCAAGTGGCACTCTGACTTTATGTGGACAGCCCGAAAGACTGCGATGGTGAGGATACAATCCAGTCACATGCCCTGTTCCATCACACCCTGGAATGGGACATTTGGTCTCTCTTTTTTCAGGCCTGGGTACATCTGTGAAAAAAACAGAATGGACGGTCTGGCTGGAACACTGTAAATTATATATATATGTATATATATATATTAGGCTAGGCACTTTTAAGTAATAGGAAAGAAAGCAATTTTCTTTCAAGGTGTTAATAAACCCTGAAATGCTAGACAACATTTAACATCCTACTTTAAATAATGACTTGTTATTTTTGTACTAAGACATATGGCATTAGAATTTGCAATGACATTTGCATCATGTGCCAAAAATGTGGAACTATCTATGAGTGGAAAAATAACTAGCTAAACAACTAGCTATCAGGCTCTGGGAAAGTTGGATTGCTGTGAACAAATCGTACGTTCACTCCCAGATATAGAACCCTAACAATGTCTTAGATCCTTATGTTGAATTTTTTTTTACCAAGATGCTTTATTGGTTGGCAAGCTAAAGCTATAACTATATGATATTTCATTTGTATTAGATGTGAAGCTCCTGTTTGTACAGCAAAAGTAAGCATGCAAAATGTGCTAATCTCTCAATTAAACACTGTAAAAAGTTCTGTCTGCTTTATATATTGCACTTATTTATTATTGCCTTTGAAAAGCGTAGTATAATGATCATATAAACATTTAAATTTTGAAACTAGTAGAATGATAAAGTTTAAAAATATTTGCTACTCTTCCTATACAAATACATGATTTTAACATATATTTAAGATATGCAGTACATCTCACTTCTCTGTCTGAAAAAGGGACACAGAAAACTGAAATAACATTATCGTTTGACTTTTTTCATTCTTTTCAAGCAGATTCAAAGCAAAAATATTTGGATGTATCTGCCCCATCCTTAGATATAACTTTTAAAATCTTAAATATGTATGCATTTTTCTTCAAAATAAGGAAACTTCACTGAATTAAATACAAGTAACTTTCAAGAGTCTTCTCCACCTTTTCAATAAAATAGCAGACTGAAATCAAATAAGTAGTCCTTTACAGATACATATTATTAAAAAGGACTGGATCCATTAAGTAGGTATAGTTTGATCAGTTTATCAAAATGAAACAATTTATAGTATCTTCTATACTAGTCAGTTTCATTTTTTGGGCAGATACACATTTTAATGTCCTTAACTACCTCCACCACCCACCAAGTGATCTGCTTGCTTCCATGATATTTTCAAGTTACAGTGCTGAGGCGGGAAAAAATGAAACTTTGAATTTGGGTTTTACTGATTAGATAGTTCTGTTGTTATAGGGATGGCTAGTTTATACTATTATGTAAAAGTTAAACGTTGAGGTTAAATATTACTATCTTATTCTACAGCATCAAAGGGAGTCAGAAGTCAATGCTTTTTCTTTCTTTTTCCCTTCTTTTCTACACTTTTCCCTTTTCCCTCCCCTATTTTTCTTATTATTTGCTTTTGTATTTTTGTATTTTATATTATAAACTAATAAAAAGGAAAAAAAAATATTTTCAGGTTACAGTGGTAAGGGTTGGAGAGAGAGTGGTCAAACAGGGAATTAGCCTGGAATCCGGATGGGCGAAATCTGACCTCCCTCCCTAGAATGTCAATGAACTTGATTTAATCTCACACACATACAAACTGTTAGTCAGAGAATATTCCTGTGTATAGACTTAAGTGCTAAACAACTAACTGAATTCTTCACGTGCGAGTCTGGTTGTGTCTGACAGTAAGGCAAATAGTTACATGTACTGATACATGTACTTATAATCAGTAAGTATACAAATTGTATATAAGTATACAATTATGGTTTACAGTTTTTTTTCTATGCAGTTAATTTAATAGTTCTTATTCAAGTTTTCTCCATAATGTGCCCTTCACATCATCTTATTGAAGAAGCCCCTGGCCTCTCTTAAGAATTCCATCTCTGGCAGTTCTCCAGTCAAAATTAAGTGGCTCCAGTGAAAAGATGTCAGCTTTCTCAGGTACATCTGACAGAAAACATAATTAGATGAACTAATTCTACTTTATTGAAATGCTACATTAACAGAATCTTGCATCTTTGAAAGTACAAATCTCCCACCATCTCCTTTATAGTCTGAGAAGTTAGGGAGGGTCCCTTCTGAGCCTCTTTCTTTTTCTTTATGCAACTCTGGGCTATGCTTTGTCATATGCGAATATTCCCTAGACAGCATCTCGTTGCCCATTCTCAAAGTTTTTCTCATATACCATTTCAAGAGGCTCCATCTCAAAACTCTTGGTGAATGTTACCAGGCAATAGACTCCCAACATCTTTGTATTTTTCATACTACCATCTTGGGGTTTGGGCTTTATAGACATCTCCTGTAATGACATTTATATGTTTCAATAATATATGATAAATCTTTGTTGACTTGATGGAATGTTTAAATGATACCATTTCAGGCAATGTAGGACATTTCTGGGACTATGAATACATAGATTGCTCAGGTTCAATGAATGTGGATTCTGTATCTCATGTTCTCAGTTAACAAAGCCTATGCTATTATCACAAGAAAACAGGACAATAGTCTTGGAAGATATCACTTAGCAGAAATAAAAAGAACGTAACAACCCCATCTTTCTACAATAGATAAAACCCAGTAAGGCTGATAAGAGTTTGCAAAGAAACTATCCTTTAATATAGCTTGCATATCTTGGAACCCATACATTGTATAATCTTCTTTAATATAATAGTTTCAGATAGAATATAATTAATAGATACAATATACAATACAATTCAAAGTAAAATTACATTCACTCATTTACATGGGGGTTATTTTCTCCTAAAGATCTTCTATTGCTCAAACAATTTAACATCATAAAAACATACTTATTGATAAGTTTGGCATTGAAGATTCTAAAATTCACAGCTAAGAACATTTTGAAGTCCATCATATCTGTGAATGATTTAGCTCTTATTTAACAAACCCAGTTAAAATATGCAATGATATGCCTTATATACAGATATGATTTAGTTACACATACTGTATCTATATGGTGTGGTAATATTTCCTCTAAAATGATTTTATTATTTAAAAACTAATTTTGGACCAGAAATATACATTCCCAGATGTGTTTTCTCTACTGTGTACTACATTGTTCTTTGTCACTGGGGCAATCCAAAGAGCCTTGTTGCACTCCCAACTGAATCAAATACAGGTAATCCTTGACTTACAACCATTCATTTAGTGACCGTTCAAAGTTATAAAAACACTGAAAAAAGTGACTTATGACCATTTTTCACTATTATAACACACCCAAGGTCATGTAATCAAAATTCAAATGCCTGGCAACCGGTTCATATTTATGATGAATGCAGTGTCCTGGGGTCATGTGATCACCTTTTGTGATCTTCTCATGAGCAAAGTCAATGGGGAAGCCAGATTTACTTAATAATCATGACACTAACAACAACTACAGTGATTTACTTAACAACTGTGGCAAGGAAGGCTGTAAAATGGGCCAGAACTCACTTAACAACTCTTTTGCTTACTAATGGAAATTTTGGACTCAATTTTGGTGATACGTTGAGGATTACCTGTAGTATTTTGGAAGTAAAGAAAGTTATCTCTTTCTGTTCTCCCCATTACTGAATCATAACACCACAATTAGATGTTTGGAAGAAGAGGACTACTGTACAATTGCAAACAAGTGATGTGAATGTAGCCCACTAAGTGTTGACATGATAAGTTGAAATCTTTCATCCACAGAAGCTATGTATAAATTGTATAAATAACCATTCAAGGAGTACTTTTCAACACAGGGGGTGGGGGAAAGGGGCAAGGAGAGGATTTTTTTTGGGGGGGCAGTCACGTTGTTGAAGCCCTGGAGAAAATCTCTCATTCACTGGTACCATTGTAATATAATGCAATATTTTTGTAATAGCCATGGGGGCAGGGAAATGCATGAAATTCTTTATCAAAACTTTTATATCATATTAAACATGAGTGAAAAACACAACAGAGAGCTCAAAAGCCAATGTACTAGCTAAAACTCAAAACAGTGCTACCCTGGAATCAGGGATGGGGACCAGGATTAACAACTATTTAACTGAATGTGTAAATTTACTGTGAACAAAGAAAGTGGACTTACGCTTGTGGCTATAGACTGGTCTACCACCAAGGTCAACTATTTTGGCTTGTCTTCTTTCACTTGCAAGATGCTCCAGTAGGAACCTATCCAGTTCTTTGTAAGTGCTATGAAAGACGTGACCCTGTTCTGCCTGAAGGGCTATTGCTTGTTCCAGCAAATTTAAGTTCTGTTTTGTTTTATCCAAGTCAAATGACTGTTCTGTATTTTCTGATAGACAATCATCTTCTTCACAATCTGGAAATGGATTCTGCATTCTATTGTTGCAAATGTCAGCATGTGAGTCCTGTGATACTTGCAGTTCTGATCTCAAACTACCAAAAGTTTCAGAATTGTTAACATCTCTTTCTTCAGCTTTGACTCCAGGTGTTTTTAGGATCTCTTCCCGATTACATCCTACAACATATGTTTTATTTAAAGGCAGTTTTATACTTATCTCTTCAGAAAAATTTGAGGAACTATCCCATTCATTGTCCAGAATTTCAGAGCTACTTTCATTGTCTTCTGAGGAACAGTATTGTGGATGTGGAACACTAATTTTGTCCCTTCTTACTGAAGAATTAATTCCATAACATACAGCAATGTTCTTATTCTCTGTTTTTAAAGTCTGGTTATCACTATCACTTAGTTTATCATTCTCTAGGGAATTTGGTGCATCTTTTGCTATTTTTTCAAAGTTAATTAATGTGTTGGTCATTGTGTCCTGGCAGTTAGTGAAACTGTCCTTCTTTTGAAGATCATTTTCTTGCATGTTGAAATATGAGATACTTTTTGTGGTGTTTTCTAGATAGAGAGAAACAGAGAAGACAAAGTTAAAGTACTTCTATTTTGGCCACAATTCACAAATCTGTTAATTATAAATTAATCTACTTATGTCAGTGAGATCCTGGAGAAATGCTACCTGTGAGATTGTTAAGAATTGGCAAAAACTTGATGGCACAAAATCCATCAATCAATATCAGTGAGAATACTTCAGGGTCAAACATTCTTAAAACCCTTTTAAGGTTTCTTTCCTGATTTGTATGAAATCATACCGTGCAAAACATTCCTTTAAAGAAATAAATGGAAAGTACACTTAATAACCAAACTATTATGTGGATCCATGATAAAATTATATAATTGGTCCAGAAATATAAAACAATTATAACAATGTGAAGTGTGAGTGGCATATGCTGAGACAGACAGACACATCTATATCTATATCTATTCTTAAGTTAAAAATGATTTATATCTCTTCTTAAGTTAAAAATGATCATAAAGAGACTTACTTTGCATACACCACTATGTAAGAGAGATATTTTGTACCAGGCTTACTGAATTCATGGAAGGACAATATACAGATATAAAGAAAAGCTAGGGGCAACTTTATCATTGAATTCAAAATGAAATCATTAAATTATGGTGTGCTTAATTAGTTACTATCAATGTGAACATGGATATTCTGAGCAATGGGAAAAATGCCTCTCTTACTTGCGGGTGTATTTAATTTTTCCTTTGAAGCAATAGAGCTTGGAAAAACACAAATATAATACAGAAACTGGCAGAAGAGACTTTTCTCATGTTGATGAAAACATTTTTTTTAATCTTCTTTGACAATGTTAATTCTTCTCCATTGCTTATATTTCCAATTGATTATATTTTTTAAAGATGATGTATTGGATTTCAATATACACACGTGCTGTATTGAGAAGCACTTTTTCTTTAAGATTACATGACAAAACAATTGGTAGTAGCTACAAGGAAAAGAATCTCAAATGCCAAAAGACAATAAATCCTTTGTGTTTAATTTACTTTTTTTTTCTAAACATTTTTTCCTGACAAGGACACTCCAAAATACATCTCCATCATCTTTCTTTCTGTAATTATCTCCCTAAAATCAACACTGGTCTGCCAGGATCAAGTAAATATTACCATAGTAACTAAAAGCATTTTTGGATGAAGGGAAGAATTTAGCCACAACACTAGCCCCTTCAATAATGCTGATTATAGGGTGTATTCTTTTGTTGGGATGCATTCAACATAAACTGGAATGTTTTGCACTTTACTTCCTAGAAGAGAAAAAAATGAGATAAACAAGTGCATAATAAAAAATAAGACAGTCTGGTTCTTTGCGGAATCCATGTCAAACCAACTCTGGGTTTAAATATTAACTTAAATATCATCCAGAAATGCAAATCAAGTTTTGTCTCAGCAACAGTGAGCTATTAAGAGAAAGTATAAAGGGTTATCATAATTTCAAAGTATTATCAACTACCGAAAACAAATAAAAAGCATTTTCGGTGAATATGTCCAATTCATTGAACTATTCTCTCAAGCCACTTAACTACCCACATGTGTACAATAATGATTTATAGACATTATACCTAATTATGCATATTTGGGCTATGGTGGAGTGCCTAACAAAAGCTCTAGAAAGCAACAATTACCTCTGTTGCTTAGCTACATAGTTTAAAATATTCCTATTAAGTGCAGATTATTGTGGAAGGGGGGAGGACGATAGAAGTGCACATGTGCCTCTACAATGCGTTTCACTTTATAGCTGCCAAACTGTTAGCGTTTTGGGTCATTTCCAGTTTACATAATTGTTTGGTTCAACTGTTTGTTATACATTAAAAGAAAAATATTTATTAATTGTTTTTTACACATTTTCTTCCAGAAACTGGGCCCCATACTAAAGAATGGGGCCCTTTTTGAACTACTTGTCAGGCATTTATTGTTGTTGTTGCTGTTATTGCCTGACTTGACACAACTTTATTTGTAGATGTTCTACCTTCAGAAGATAGAAGGAGCTAAAAGGATGAAGAGCAGCAGGCAAGGTAATAAAAATCCCAACACTTATTAATGGATGTTCTAATCAAGAACAGACAAAGTCTGAGTAAGGTTCATATTGTTCCCCACTTTCTCCATTTAAATTAATTAAATTATAATAGAGGAAAATGGTAAATAGAGAAAAACTCTTATTGAATGTTCTACATTTTTACAACAAAAAATTCCCCAACAGTCAATCCAACATTTGTGAGTCAATAGTACAGAAATGTTTTCCTATAGAGCTACTTGCCTTGTAGATAGATGCATGAATTGCAGTTTCTGTCATATGAAATCAATTTGAGGTTATGCAGAAGAGATCATTACTACCCTATCAGCTATTCAGAAATAGGAAACCAGTGCATGATTTATTCTAGCAATACATTCCTCTTCCCCCATAGAAGAAGAATGTATATGACTATTAATCACATATAAGTACATATAAGACTATTAATCACATATACTGTAAGTACATATAATTATCATAATAATAAATGAGGGCCTGAAACAACATAAAACTTGCTAGATACCAATATGATATATCTCTTGGTCTGTAAATGTCCATTAAATTCATGAAAATATTAATGCAAGGCAGCCTCTTAGCATTGGTATTGCTTAAATCTGTTTCTAGAATGGACTCTGAACCATACCCAAATATTATTTATCCAGTTGGACAAATACAGTTATTAGTAAATTCTGAGCATGAACACATGCATCCATACCAACATGCTCATGTAAAGAAGCAAGATAACATTATGATTTGATCATCAACAATCAGACAAAAGTTCTATGTGAAGAACTAGTGAATTAAAAGTATCTAAATTATACCCCTTGTATCACTCCAACTTTATTTGAGAATGGGAGGCCATTTTATTTTATGGAATTTCCTCAGTACATCTTAAATATTTAACTGCACAGGATCACTGTTATATAGAATGAGCATGAGTGTAAATGACTTCTCTTCAAAACTATGCTTGGTGCCTGGAAAGATGAATCAGTGAGGCATGCAATGTTACTTATAGAGCCAGAAGACAAGTTGATTAATCCTATAAATGTTAGCCTACATATCACTGCAGATAAGTCTTCTCACTTATGAACTGATGCAATTCTTCATTCTAAGGCTGACAGAGAAGGCTAAAAGGTCTTCTAATGGCTACACCTTTGTTCTGCTAAGAATATGGTTCGATAGACATAGATCAGTGTGGTAAATACATGTGCAAGATAGGAGAAAGAGTGGTTTTCCTTTATCCAAGGTCTTGATAGTGTACTAGCATAGTCATGAAATCTAATTCAGATATATTTTATCTATTCTAATCCAATAAAAAATTCAAGTTGTAAATCAATATTTGAAAACAATAATGTGTATGTGGGGGGAGTGAGGAAGGGGGGGGATTGAATTTGAATTTACTTAAGACAGAGATAATCAATTAAAAGATAGATCAGAGGGGAAAATCTTATGTCTTATTTTTACATTTTGGATTTATTTCTAGAATCTGCCATGACCCGTGTTATGCAGCTGTCAGTGTCAGTCAATATCTGCTCATGTAATATAGCTTTTAGACTCTTAAGTCAGAATTAGCCAGGAGACTATGTACCTTAAATACATCTTATTTGTATTCTATATGGAGTAACTTTTGAAAATTATTTCAAAAATTCAAGTGTTTTAGAATATTACAGCTAGACTGATACCAGAGAGGAACTGATACCAGATATGAAAAGTATAATCATTAATTCCTTTGGATTTTTTAAAAAAAGCTTTTGTATTTTGGATAAATGAAGACTCTTTGGATTGGCAAGGTTTTATTTAACTCATCAGGTGAGTTTCCGCCTCCTTAAAAGACAATGAGATAATTTTGATTTTAAAAGTTTTAAAAATATATGATTTTTTTTGGATTATGCAGCAAAAGGATGCTTAGTATATAGATTTTTAGTATATACATTTTTAAAAACTGATTAATGGGTAGGGAGATTCCAACTTCAACTATATTAAACACTTTCTGGGGTTGCTTTCATATAACCAAGTTATTAATATGTGATTCACCACCCAGCATATGGCAAACGTGTATTTAATTTTTAACTTTGAAGTGGGGAGTCATTTATGTTCCTACTATCATTTGATCATTTTGATACCATGAAAACACAAAAACTAGGAGACCAACCATATGTATTTATATTTTTCAAAGAAAGATGTTTGTTTCTGCTGTTCTTGTAGCTCTTATTTGCATTCGTATAGTAATTAATAACATAATGAGAATAAAGTCTAAGGCTATGCATATACTTTTACTCAAAATGTTCTTTTGTTTAAATTGAAGTGTCCTGATAGAACAAAACTAAAAATGGCTTGGGAATACCATATTCCAATGGAATAAATTTAACGTATGTTTCACTATTTCAAAAAACAATTTCTGGATGCACAAAAGATGGTAAAATTTGGAAGGACTTATTTTAGAAGTGACAAATAGAAGGATAAATTTTACTTATTGATATAAAAAAATCTGTTACAGTTTTGATGGATTTTTTGTTTTGAAACACAGATGAGAAGTAAACTACTTATAGAACTTTTTTTGAATGGATTAAAAAATAATTTTAAAAAATCAATGAAGATTTATAAGATTGTCTTATTTGACCAGGCTTAAAAGATACACAAAAATGTGAAATCACATTGGGTTTGTACGGATAAAGTATATGTTTGATTATCATTATTATTTTAGAACATATTCCTGTTTCCTATTTTCTGACAACTCTGAAAAATCCATTAGACTGAAAGAGATTAGGTAACTTGGATGCAATTATAAAGACAAGTTATTAGAATCTGATCCAATAAATATAATAGAATTTATTCTCATGTGTATGATTGCAGACTAAGAGATCCTACCACCTATAACTAAAATCTTACACAAATTATAAAGAAAGTAACCCGTTACAATTCTAATCCCATTGTTTTAGAGATTTGACAAAGCAATTTTCAATGGTTAATTCTGTGTTAATTTGTTATTAAATTTCTATACATCTAGAGGAATTTTGATCTGAGCAGAGACATGTTCAAGTGGTTTGTTCTCTTGACACACAGTATTTACTGAGTTCAAAAAGAAATAATTCATCAAGTTTTTGATCGACAAAGCAGAGACATTCACACAAGAGAAAATATGCTTTGTTTTGAACTTGTAATGAAACACTTTTACTCAAAATGTTCTTTTGTTTAAATTGAAGTGTTCTGATAGAACAAAACTAAAAATGGCTTGGGAATACCATATTCCAATGGAATAAACTTAACGTGTGTTTGACTATTTCAGAAATTTGAAACAAGCTCTTCCCATTTTTCCCTGGGATTACATAATTAGATGGGACTTCCACATTGACGGCTACCAGCCACTTAACTTATATGAAATTTGGCCAAGTGTATTTATTTAAAATACCCAAATAATAACAGTTTCTACTTAATAAAGTCAAGTAACAATTTCTGCATTTCTTTTGGTAGCCTGCCTATCTAACTCTAACCCAAGGCCGGTTTTTTAAAAAAGTTTTCATTGTAATGTAAAATAAGAAGGGAATTCTGAGTAATATTTCTAGTAAAGTAAAATAAAAATACTATAGGACACAAATGCATATATGTAATGCATATAGTGCACATATGCACCAAAACTCAGTAAACAACAGAGCTAACACCCAGGTTTTACAATTTTAAATGCACACTAAAAGCTCAACATCAGAAGACATGTGTATGCGTGAGCACATATAAATGCACAAATTCAAACCAACATAATAGCATGATATAACTGCTGTTTGTCCCAGCATCCCACCTACCATTTTAGCCCATGCGCTAAGCCAATAGTAGCATTGGTCATAATTCTTGTTCTACTGGGCATATTTTCTTACAGCACCAAATAGTTGGAATGGCTGTTTTTAGCTCAGAATGTTTTCATCTTGGAATATTTTGCACACCCTAAACCTAAATTATTTTTAATTTTATCATCATCATCATCATCATCATCATCATCATCATCATCACCAGCATACCATCCTTGCTCCACAAGTCAGGTCAATAGGAATAATATGAATGACTGGTACAAAGTCCTCCCAGTGAGCTATGTGCCCAATTGTCTTATATATTAACAATGATACCACATTGGCTTTCTGATATAATTTTGAAGTGTGTCTAATGATAGGATTTCACTTGTCTTCTTTGGGAAGTATTAGGAAATATTGATTAAGTTATAACCTATGCTTTTTCATACCTGTTTGGAGAACATTATTATTGTCCTGAAAGTGTGTCCTGCCTTCATTCTCTCCTTTGCCTTCCAAGGTGGGATTGTAGTGGCGAGGCTTCATCAACAGAGATTTCCTTTTGTTGATTGGAACTTCCAAAATCTGTTCTTCAGCCTTTCTCTTCTTAGCCATGGAGCTTTTGTAGGCACTGCATTTATACAAAAGCTTTTAATAATACAAAAAAGTGACATGAAAGACATTGCACAAGAGAAGTAGTATAACCAAAGTTGTAAATGGATGGGTCCTGTAAAAATGTGTATATGTATGTGCATGGACAACTGTGGATATGTTTAATTTTACTGGATGGTACTAAAGATGAAGACCCTTTTCGGAATGTTTTATTTTCTAAGATAGCCAAAAGTCTACAGAGGCATAATATATAAATTTTAAGAAAAATAAAAAGTCACCCTTCATTCTGAATAGAACATATGTTAATATAATCTCAGCACTTGATTAGATTATATGTGTCCAGGAGAAGATAAGGAGAGATTAATAATAATTTGTTAATCCCAAGAGAGAGCAAATATGAAAATTCCAGTCGAATGTGTCAAATGTCTTTGTTTTGCTGAGATGTGTACAATTGAAATATAACCATTTAAATAGTTTGCTCTTTTTCTTGTATGTGAGAAGTTATTGAGCTTTAGAAATGGACAAAGAGGTAGGTAGAAATTCATAGCAAAGATGCATTTGGATTCTGATCTAAATCAGAAGATAGAACCAGCACATGATGTGCAATGCAAGATATTGCTGCAGCATTTCTGAGCCACCACAATGTCTTACTCTCATAGCTAAATCATTATACAAAGTCTGGTTTCCTTCTTGTCGTTTTCAGTCACTGGAATCTAACACTGTAGAGAAGAAATTAAATACACCCACACCCAAACACAAACACACTCACAAATGTTATTCTATCTTATATTTGACATTCTCTAAGATATTTAAAGATTACTGGAACAATCAACTTAATCTCCTCTTCTTTGCTCAATATGCTCAGTTTTGCAATTTGTTTTTCATTGGATTAAGTTTCTAGGGTTCTGGCAACCCTTTTCTAGCCCCACTTTGATCTATATTATGGCTATATAGATCAGATCTCAAGGTAATTATTTTGGGGGCTAAATAGATTTATTCCGCATCTTCAATTATAATGTGCTATATATTCATAGAGTTCCTTTTTTGTCTTTATAATCTAGAAGTGCACAACCCAAGGGAACAGAGCTACAAGCTGGTATGAAAGATTTGGAAGAAAGCCCCATAACTCTTTCAAACCTTACAAGCAATATACAAGACATAACATATTAATTGCATTTAAAATTATTTATTTATTTATTTATTTGCCACCTATCTCATTTCAAAAGAGCTTATAGCATAATAAACATTACAAACATTAAAATCATAGAATATAAAATTACAGAAGAGACAAAATCAAATCATTAATTTATTTATTTAGTGTACGGCATACAATGTCAGGGAAATTTACAAGTGCTAGACAAAATGCAGTCTTGGCAGCTTAAATGGCTAGTTCGGTGTTCAGTGCTTGCGTGCCTATCTCTGGTGCACCACAGGGGACAAAATAGTTTACACCAGCTGACTAGCAGCACTTGGGTTGCATGTTTTCGAGCTGCTGGGTGGGCAGGAGCTGGGGAACAAGTGACAGGAGCTCACCCCATCTCACAGAGCCAGGCTTGATCCCCCTGGCGTGCAAACCATTTCTGGCAGGCAGTTTCAGCATCATTAAGCCACTGCGTCACTGCGCCCCCTACAAAATCATTAACGTTATTTGGAAAAGGAGGGAGCCAGATATATGGGGGGGAGGTGGAATTTGTTTTTAATTAGCCAACCACCTCCAGTGTGAAACGTCCCCATTGGGACACCAAGCCATCTGGCAGAATCAGGTTTTAAGGCTTTTATGAAAACTGAGGAGGCTGGGAGACAATCTCATCTCAGAGGATAAGATTTTCCAAAGGGGGGGAGCCACGGCAGAAAAGGCTCTTCTCCTGGACTCTCCCAGTCGAAATTCCTTGACCGATGAGATCTGCAGTATGCCTTCTTTATTGGTTCAATTAATTATATTAAAATTAAATGAAGATGAAACCACATTCAATATATATCAATGTCCCATTCGCTTCTTTATTTTGGCTTCACTTTCTGGATTGTGGTAACAACACTCCATCCAGGAACCAAATGCAGCCAGCAACTTCCATAAAGATTTGAATGCATTTCCTACCTAACACCGTATGGAGATGTTCCCTAAGATTATTGTTTTTTAAAAAAATATTATGTACTATATTCTAAGAAAGTATAAAAATATGTTATTATTTGTTAACAAAATTGAATGGCTGAAAATAAGTATCTGTCAGTCAGCAGGGCCATAAAAAAAACCTTGAAAAAATATTCAGATGATGTATATGTTCTTTGAAAAGTCCAGTGTCACATTCTAAAAATTCTACATTTACTGTTTTTTTTTTAAAAAAAGATTCATTATCTGGTGTTCTCTCAGTTATGCAATATGAATAATACCATTATATCTGTCACAGATGAAAAATTGCATTTATGGATCAGTGTAATCCACTCATTGGTTGCTGGACTCAACTCCCCTAGGGAGTATGACAATTCAACATGATACCACTGGTTGTTAAATTTTGCATTTGGCTCATTGATCTAGCAGAAAGATTTGCAAAAATCCCTGTCTCCAGACAGCTCCCTGTTGGTTACACATATTATGAGGCTCAACAGCATAAATTCATCTTTAACTTATGTGCACTAAATTGGCTCCAGTTTGGATTGTTTTGGATGATGGCATATGACTAACTTAAGCTTTTTACTTTTTCTTTTTAAATCCAAGTTGGCAAGGCTTCCTCTTGGCAAGCTACCCTTACAAATATGAAGGACAGGGAAACAAATGCGAAGATCTTCACTGCGGCAAAAGTTAAACCACAATCAACATGCATCTTAAATTGTAAATTCTCCTTTTCTTTCACAATGTTGCACAAAGCAAGAGACCAAAATAATGGATACATTCCAATCCGTCTATTTAAAATGACTATGGTTTATGTGGCATATTTATCTGCCACAGCAAAACAAATGCCACAAAGCAGTAATGATTTTTTTCAATGTACATGGCATACAGCAGGGCTTTTCAACCAATGGTACGGGTACCACCTGTGGTACATTGGCACCTGGCAGGTGGTACGCGAACATCCTAGAAAAATGGTAGCGGGGGAGGGGAATGAGCTGAATTGGTGGCAGCACTGAAGAAGCACCAATCAGTTGGAAAGCAGCACTGATCCTGATGCTTCTGCTAAGCCCAGAAGAAGCACCGATCAGCTGGAATGTTGCAGCATCTCCAGGGTCTAGTGATTTACATTCAGATGCTTGGCAACTGATTCATATTTATGACAGTCACAGTGTCCCAGGGTCATGTGAAGTGACCAAAACCTGCTGCAACCACCCAGCAGATGGGGGGAATAAGAACCAAACACCCCCCCACCACACCCCCACTGCCAATCCTCAACAGAAATGCTCACAACAATGAAAACTTCGGACAGGAGGAAGAGCGCCACTGGGCGCTGTCTTGCTCAGCTGTGGCTTGGGGGGCACTTTTTTCAGTGCCATTGTAACTTCGAACAGTCACTAAGCGAACTGTTGTAAGTCGAGGACTACCTGTACTTTATCACTTTTTTCCTTTTTTTTTTTTTTTGATCATCAAGTTTTTGACACCTTGCTAGGCGACTGGTGGTACTCGGATGTTGCCATATCCTAAAAGTGGTACAATGGTGAAAAGGTTGAAAAGCCCTGGCATACAGGTAAAGAATTGTAACTGGTTGGATTAGAATAAATGTTTTTTCCATGTAACTTTTGAAAAATCATTTGCCAATTAGGCTCTGCTAGTTATATTAGGAATTCAAAAGAGGCAGGTTTTTCTCAGGTTGTCTATACAAACTATATAAATATAACAATAAATAAATTACTTTCAATAGAAAGTAAAATATTCACCACATTTATAGTTCATGATCTCATGGATTTTAATCCTTTATTCTACAGTTACTATAATAACACAAAAAATTGTTGGGCTCCCACTTATGCATCCAAGTGGCTGCCATGAACTTTGATATTTGTGATATTTAGCCTATATATGAACACTTGAAAATATTTGTTCCTAGTTATCTCAGTTTTCTTGTGAATAGAAGGAGCTCTGCAAGCCAAAGAAAAATAGATCAGTTTTATATTGTCACTTATGATAGGCAGTGGTGAGATTCAGCCAGTTCGCACCAGTTTGGCGGAACTGGTAGCTAATTTTTTGTTGCCCAGGCCCAGAATGGACTTCCAGAAGCAGCATCCACACAGAGAACCGGTTGTTCACATATTTGAATCCCACCACTGATGATAGGCATGATTCAAAGAACTTGGAGACAATTACTTTTTTGTTCCCTTTCATCTACTTTCTTCCTTAACCAAATTAATATTACATGGACAAAACTATCTGATATTGACTGGGAGCAGGTGGTGGTGGGAGAATTGATGAGTAACTGAAAACTTTAAGATACTCTGAATTTTAAAATTGATATAAAGGTAATAATAAAAGAAATTGGAAATGCTTCACAATAGAATAATAGATAATAAATTTGCATGCAACTTTCTTTGATTGGGTTTATTAATCATGCATGCGTGTGTGTGTGTGTGTGTGTGTGTGTGTGTGTGTGTGTTAAGCACATCCAACTGTGTCAGTCAACTAATGAAATTGTTCTGTACATGGAAGTACCTAACAGCCCAGAAGTAAAGAAAACAAGAATTTTCACCAATGGGAAAATACATCTGCAGCATTTCTAATTGTAAATTGGCTTCAAGCAGGTTACTCTTGTGGTGTAGGTGAACTGAAGATAAATTGGCTCAGTTATCCAATGGGAATAAGGGTGTGAAATCGCAGGTTTATGGAAACAGTATAAATACCAGATATGGATTTAGCTTTTGTGCATTGAAGATTTCCATCTTGCCCCTATTTTCTGTCCTTTCCTTTCTTATCTCTTGTTTCTTCTCATTTTTTAAATTTCATATGTGATATCATTCCTTTAAATTAATTTGATCCTAATCTGGCAGTTTAAATGTGAACCCATGGTTTCCAACTTCAACTATATTAAACACTT